CGCCGTGGGGGGGGGGGGGGGGGATGTGGGGGTGGCAGGTGTGAGTTGCCTGCAGCCCGTCCTTCCCCTCCCTTCAGCGGGGTCCGCCGTGAGGGGGGGAAGAGGTTGCGGGGGGAGGGTGAGGGGAATGGGGGAGATTGTGATGGAGTGGAGAGAGAGATTCTGCTGAGCCAGCAGCCGCCCCTCCTCCTCTCTCTCTCACTGCCGCGTGTGCTGCCGTGGGGGGGAGGGTGAGACGATAGCGGAAGTTAGCTAGGCATCTGCAGCTGCCGCCCGCTGCTACCGTGGCACCTCCTTCTGCCGCCCCTGCCTCCACCTGATGTTTCTTCTGCTGTCTTCTGCTGTTGAGCGGCAGGTGCTGCCGTTGAGCCCTGCTGTGCCGCCGCACGGTGCCGCCGCACGCACCCGCTCTCCAGGCAACCTGCCGCCACATGCACCTTTGTCTGTTGCTTCTACCTTGGCTGAGGGGTTGGTGTAACTGAATCTGCCACCACTGCACCAGTTGCCACTGCTCTTGCCTGCTGATGCTGTTTTCTCTGTTCGTGGTGTACCCATCCAGGATGTGTTGCTGCACAAACTCCTGCTGCAGGCAGTTATGGTGGAGTGTTAGAATATATCTGTAACTGCCTGTAGCTGTAGTTAGTGTAGTTATTATAAACTGTTGGTGGTGCACCTTCTTTGCATGCTTTGTTTACTATTTGTACCTCGCTCAATAGTGAATTCTTCCTCTTTGGCTAAACTCTCTCGACATATGCCTCTCTCAAGTCTCCTCCTACCCCAAACCCTAGTGTTCACTTAATCTACTATTCTAACAGCGTCAGCAGCCTGTTTCCAAGAAACGTACTCAGTCTTCCAGCACACGGAATCTGATGATGGATGGGAGGTGGAAGAAAGTAATCGCCTGCTGGACGGAGACAAGGAAGCGCTGGATAAGCCATGGTCGGAGAAGGAAGTAAGAGAAGCAGCACTTCGCGGGTTACTGTCAGGAAAGGCGCCGGGGCAGAATGGGTTGCCGGCAAACATAATAAAAAAAAAAGTGCTGCCGAAGGTAATCTCAAAACATCAATTTGGCTTCTTACCTAGGAGGCGGCTTGCAGACGCGGTCTCAATGGTAGCAGACATGTTCGACGCGGCAGCAGGAGGGGAAGAGGACTGGCTGTTACTCCTCGTAGACTTTTAAAAGGCTTATGACTCGGTCTCGCAGGAGTTTCTCTACAGCACGTTGGAGAGAATGGGCTTCGTTGCCAAGTTCATCGCCTGGACGAAGGGGCTATACGAGGGAGCATACACAAAGATGTTGATTAATGGGTGGATGGGAGACAGAATAGAGATGGAGACAGGATATAGATGGAGAAAGGGGTATGCCAGGGATGCCCACTGGTCCCGTATCTCTTCCTCAGCGCGGCGGAGCCATTGTGCCAGGAAGCTGAGTGGCGGAAACTGAGTATTTGCAAAAGAGGTATTGGGGGGCTGACATACGTAGGGTATGAGGACGACACCACCTTGGCTCTAAACGGCAAAGAACAAGTAGAAGTGGCCAAGGATGTGAGGATCTAGGATCGAGCTCAGAAAAGAGAATTGTAATTGAATGATCACCTGGGTACAACACGAGGCTATATATAGGCTCGACACAAGGCCCTGTAACCAGGTGTTACGCGAAGGTTCCGCGGGTCGCAAAGCGTCCCGAACAGATCCTTCCCGAATTCGGTAGAAGGCAATTCGGTGGCAACCGAAAAGCCAGAATTCGGTGCACGCAACCTAGCTCGGTGCTATAACTATAGTAAAATATAGGAAAGCACCTAGCCTAGGAAATCAAGCAATTCATGCATGCATATAATTATCCTATGCTAGAAATAGCATGATAAAGTAAAGGCAAGCAAGCATATCTGGCATAAACCGTCGTACTCTCACAAAGGAGCTGCTAGATGATTTCGGACAGATCTCTGGTCTGGGCATCAATCAAGATAAAACAAAGTTGGGGAACGACAGGAGGAGGCAGCATCCATTGGACCAGCCTTTTAAATGGGCACCACGAGATGACTCGGAACGGCTGCTCGGCATCTGGTTCACACCAGAAGGGTCATCGGAGCCGTCTTGGTACAAGGCGTTTGAGCGAATGTGTGGGAGGTGAAGGAACAAATGGGAGGTGAAGCAACTGACGACCTCGGCCAGGGTGATGATAGTTAACAATTATGCGATGCCGATCCTGCTATTCCAGGCGTTTGTGTATGCACCTCCGGATGAGCTTTGGTCGAAGGTGAAGCGGATTTGTCGCAATTCTATTTCAAAGGGGAGAGCGTCATTTGACATACATTTCATCCTGTGGAGCTTCAAGCTCTCCTAAAGAGGATGAAAAGAGGGGGGTCTCGGAGTGATACACAACATTGGGAGAGGTGCAGCGGCAAAAGATCCCTTCCACAACCGGCTGTGGGAAAATGCTGCGAGCTTTTCGCAAGGACTCGCGATGATTTACGCACACCCAACAATCCTGCAGCACTGGTTGTAAGGAGGGGTGAGATGGAAGGCTACGGTTGAAGTTTTTTGGGAGACAAAAACGAAGGTGATCGGCGAGACGTCAAACCGCTGTGAGGCGAAAGGCGAACACCTTATGTTCAACAGACAACTTTCCTTCAGAGGGAAATCACCCTCTGGAAGACAGAAGGGGTCGAGTTGCTTGATGGGAATGTGCTCATGTGCTGTTGTTGCGCCCAAAGATGCCTCACCAGACTCGGTTGCAGCTGGGGTGTATTATTGCAAAAGGGAAAGTGAAGCCAGTCTTCCTAGCGTTAAACCTCTCTTCCCTATGCGCTCTTCCCATCCCGCCATGCATACTCATGCGGATGTTCTTGTTGCCCTCCCTCTCACAAGGCACTCGACTCTTAGGGAGCCATTCTCATGTACCAGCAGCACAATGTGGTAGTGAACCCACTCGACCTGACCTCTTCCAAAGAGGATGCTACCCGGCAGTGTGTCAGATCAGTGTGGATCCAGCAGCATGGCATCACTCACATTTCATTTGTTCTGGCATACTCAAGACGGATACGATGCTTTGAGAGAGCACTAGTAGTTTGATCATTATCGTATATGGTATTCACCGTTTCAGCAATGTCTTTTTACGCTTGAGCTTCACAATATTTATTCTAGGCGGTGCGCTCATTTCATGATCCTTCTGCACTCTAATGCCGTGGTCCTCTTATCTCACCCATGCTTCTTCAATATCCTATATCCGCAAGCACCTAATGAGAAATCTGATGTGATGTGACCCACCTTCTGCCCTTCAACTAACCTGGGGACCAGTATGACTCACGTGGTGAACCGTGAAACCCAAACCAGGAAGGAAAGAGGAGTAGGCAAGGCAAGGATGTGGAGGTGGCCAGAGAGTTGTTCAGCAATTGGCCAAGTGATGCCATACAATACAATACAACCCATTCGGGTATCATGATTCATGAGTAAACAACGTCTGATGAACTTATTTTTTATAGTCAGCATTACCACAAGCGTGATCATAACCAGCAAACCGTATCGCTGAAGCATAGCTAACAAATGCACATGTACACGCGACGATTCACCAGCCCAGGGTGAGCACTGATCTGAGCGAGCAAGGTGGCAGGCTCACACTTAGAACTCCCAGTCTCATCGTTCCGGAAGTCTTCGAGCAGAAGCTAGCTGCAGAGTTGCTAGGTGCCTGATGTAGTCATTGTTGTCATTGCTTGTACTACCATTCTGAAATTCCAACTTTGCTAGTGAAACTCTTGCCAACTTCTCCCGTGAATGTGCAAGTGCTAAGAAACGCAAGCAAAGCTACGATCACTCTTAGTAGTTCGTTCCTACCCCCCACCTCGTAGTCTAGCTCACTACGTTTGACGAGTGAATCTCCGCACTTGCTGTGGCTCACTTCAGCTCGTGGTTAGGCTTGTGACGAAGACAAGGGCGAACGGTAATGGAGCTCGCGACTGCGGTACTTTGTGTCGTCAATTCCAATTCTTGTTCTTGGATATTTGGCTCTTGTTCACATGTTACCGTGTCGTGCTGGTCTTGTTTCCAACCAACTCTGTGCCGTTTATTAGCAAGGGACGACCCTTGGCTGGAAACGATCCCTGTATTGCACGTCTAACTGGAGTGGCGAAACCTATCCAATCTCGAGGCTGCCAATGAATGTGCAAACTCGGTAACAGATTGGATCAAACTAGTTTTCCTCAGCATAATTTCTATTTTAAGCTTGAAATCCTCCGCCATTTCATCATGTTTCCTTGCCACTATCAGCCCCATAGCATTTTAGAGGCCACTTTGTCCCCGTTCCACGCACCTACTGCGACTTTTACTGCTCAATATCGCATAAGATAATGGCGGATGTGAATCCTGGTCATAAAGGACGTAGTTACATAATCAGGTGCAGACATTATTCGCGTCCACCTTGACTCTGCCCCCGTTACTCATGGGATGCCCATCATAGCCAAGCTCAACAATTTTGCATTTTGCCGAGGAGAATCTTCGAGCTATATGATGTTGCAAATCCAGCTGTTTCGTCTGCATTCCCGTGCTTACAGTAGTGGGTTTTCTGCTTAGCGTCATCGCGATTGTGGTTGGCTTCTTCGATTCCAAATCCCGGTTAAGATTGCGTTCAAGAAAAACCTGATAAGAATTCCGGTAGGCTATCCCAACTGACGTCAGCCTTTTCCCTCTTCGCCTACTCCCCCTCCCCCACTCCCCCTTTCTCCTGTTTCCCCCTCCCCGCATTCACTTCTCTCCCCCTCTTCAACTCGGATTGGCCGTCCAAGCGCAGCCTTGGCGATTCTTACAGCATTGATGCGCCCTTCACTCCGTGTGCCCTCGGCATGTCATTCACTATGTGACGCGTCAAGCTGCCATTAGCAACATCCAAGGCCTGGGGATTTATTTGTGCCTCCTCCGAACAAGACCTACAGTTTCTGGTACAAGCTACACCCAGGCAACCTCGGGGGAGTGGTGCTGTACCCCTCTTGCCTGTGGTATAAGCAGCGATGGCAGTGTCAGTGGCACATCTTCCCCCTTCTGTCTGCTCCTCTTTGCTGCACCCAGATGACGTGGGGGGAGTGGTGCTGCCTGGGCCTGCAGAACTTGCTATAGCAGGCAACGCTAAGGGCAGCTTCGTGGATGGTGACATGGCAAGGCAGTACAGGGCATAGCAAAGGGCAGAGCAGAGCAGATTACATGGGGACTTACAGACGAGTGCGGAGCAGAGGGAGTGGGAGTGGATATGTGAGGAGGTGGCATTGAGAGCATAGGAGTCAGCATCATGCAGCTAGGACCCATCACCAACCTCGGCCAGGCAAGTGTATCGAGTGCGCACCATTGTAACGAGGTGACCCTTGAGACGATTCAATAGATGGCTGGGAAGAGGGCAGGCTTGGACAGATGAGCATCATGCAGCCGAGGCCCATCACCAACCTCGCCCAGGCAAGTCATGCCAAGTGGACAAGTCCCCATCCAACCCCCTCATGCTCTTGACCACGCCCCTCTCTCCATTCACGCCTCAGCTCACACTCTCTCAGTGCCCTCATTTCCGACTTGCCATTCACCCCTCGTCCTGCGTCCTTCGTCCACGCCAGCATTTGCGGCTTGCCTGAGTGGTCTCAAGATTCGATCTCGAGACTTTCATGGCATTTGAGGTGGCGCATAAATGGTTGCTCTCCAGGCTGCCCTTGCTCTCCGTCCATCCCCAGCATTCAAGCCCGCTGGCATCTGCATGCTGAAATGCCCTCGTTGCCTCACCTCCCTTACCTCCCTCACCTCACTGTCCTCACTCCCCTCCCTCACCTCTCTCACCTCTCTCACCTCTCTCCCCTCCCTCACCTCTCTCACCTCTCTCACCTCTCTCCCCTCCCTCACCTCTCTCACCTCTCTCCCCTCCCGTCACCTCTCAACTCTCGCCTCCCTCACATACTTTGCCGTACAGCTTCCCTCCCGCCTCCCATCAGTTGGAATGGTCCCGACCCATGGGCGGGGGTGCCACCAGTGCAAGTGGCCATGGCTGTTGGTGCTGCTGAGGTGGCAGCCACAATCACCCGACTCCTTTAGTCTATTGAATGAAGCTGCATGGTGGCATGGCCCGCTCGCTCCTACAAGTGGCCATGGCTGTTGGTGCTGCTAGGTGCCGGCTGTTGTATTAGTCCAACACGGCACTTGGCGTGTTCAGGCTTGGTGCAGAATATCCTGAAGTGTTCAGTAGTTCCAAAACATATGCAGTGCATATGCGGTGCATATACCCTACTGTACCTGACATGTTTTGGGCATGACCCAGTAATCATTCACTTGAATGCTTGTTGGCAGTAATATTGAGATAAGTACCGTAGTACAATACAGACAAGACCATGAGATGAGGATGTGATGTGATGGCAGTTGTGGTGATGGTAATTGTGATGAGAATGGAGCCAGTGGTGAAGGCGGAAGTGGTAACAGAGATCGCAGTGATGGTAACACCAGCAGCATTCAGCCAGAGAAGTAATCACCCTCAACATCATTCTCCAGGTGTTCAGAACCCTCCCCAACTACCCTAGCTCTTTAAAGCGTAATCATTCCCCGCCTTCTTATCTGCACTGCCCAGCCCACCTCAAAGACATCACAGCTAAGGAAACAGCCTATGCTACATGCCAATGTCCTTACTGGTGCCGACCAACCGTACCTGTGAATGTTCTCAGCCCATACACCTCATTGATGCTTCTGTGGAGCACCTCACTGGTGCTTCTGTGCCACCTCATTCATGGAGCACAGACCCATCCCTGTCCTTCACCCCTAATTTGAGCCCTTCGCAGGTGGGATTTGAGATCCCCTCATGCAAAATACCCTGCGCATATTCTCAGCCCATACACCTCATTGATGCTCTTGGGGAGCCCAGACCCATCACTGTCCGTCAAATGCCTACACTCGGACACCTCCAGCAATCGCAGTGCCTTCAGCTCACCTAAATCCCCCGGCAATGCCTCAAGCTGCGCACAGCATGACAAAGAGAGGTCTTTGAGCTGCGTGAACTGTGCAGCGTTGGGACACAGGGAGCGGATTGGGCAGCATGAGATCGACAGCTGGTTCAGGCGGGTAAGCTGGGTGAGAGAGGCAGGCAGATGCTCAAGCTGCTCGCAGCGAATGAGGTGCAGTTCCCGCAACCGGGATAAGGCACCGATGGCAGGCGGAAGAGAAGCCAGTTTGGGCGCAGCGTAAACCCCCAAGGACGTCAGGCTCTGCAGCGCACTCACACTCGCTGGCAGCTCTGTCAACTTGCCCGCACTTACCAGCTTCAGCTCCCGCAGCTGCGGCAGTGCCGACCCAACATCGGCCGGCAGCCTTTGGAGCTTTTCCGCGTTCGCAACAACCAGCGAGCGCAGGCGGGAGAGGAACGTCAAGGCGAATGGAAGCACCTCCGCATCGCCTGCCAAATTCAGCTGCAAATGCTCCAGGTGCGACAGGGCAGTCAGGGCCGTGACAGACGCTGGAAGGGCCGTGAGCTGATGGCAGGACGAGAGGTGCAGCTCGCGCAGGCTGCTGAGCGACCCCACGCCCTCTGGCAGCTCCTCCACGCCGCAGTTGTCCAGCTCAAGCCTTGTCAGCGACGCGATCTCCGATAACGAGGATGGGAGATGCGGATCCTTGAAGCTGTGTCTCAGGAGCAGCGTGTGGAGGTTACTCAGGCGTCCTATGCCCGCTGGATGCGCCACTCGACCGAGGCAGAGAGTCGTGAGAGCTGTGAGGCAGCAGAAGCCTGCTGGCAGCTCGCGGATTGGGTCGGCCGAGAGCAGGAAGAAGGATTTCAGAGAGCTGAGCTGGCAGATGGAGGCAGGCAGGCTCGCCAGCGGCACATCTTCAACTACCAAGGTTTTCAGGGCAGTCAATCTCCCGATATTTTCAGGCAGGCAGCGGAATTGGTGGCATTTGGTGACTGACAAGGTCTCGAGGTGCTTCAGGGAACAGAAACCTTTCGGCAGCTCCTCGAAGGCATCGCACCAGGCAACGGTCAGCTCACGCAGACGCGGCAGCAACTCCGCAATGCTGTCCGGAAGCCGCTCCAATTCTTCGCAGTCTGATATCTGCAGGCGTGCAAGACTGGTCAGTGGCCAATCCGACAGCAACATTTGGTGGGTGTCCAACGATTTGATCAACGGTAGCTGTGCAATGGCAAAGGCAGCCGAGCCCGAGTCACCACTGGCAGGAGAAATCGTGGTCCAGGGAGAGAGCGAAAGGCTGGTGATGCTGGGAAGACGTCGTACGTTGGAGAGCTGCTCCTTGTTTAGCTTCCTGCAGGCGATATAAAGATTGGTGAGAGAGCTGAGGCTCTCCAAATCTGGAGCTTCTAAGGCGGAGGCGGCTGTTAAAGCCAGGGTGTGCAGACGCGTGAGGCGGAAGAAGGAAGCGGGTAGCTCAGTGTCCCGATGGAGACAGAGCAGTGAAAGCTGCTCCAGCTGAGTGCATCGCTGGAAGAAGCGATCCAGACCAGCCTCGGTGATCGGGTGCTTATGCTTCGGTCCAACGGAGTTCGGATGGTGAGTGATCCAGCGTCCCACGTGGAGAATCTTGAGCTGAGGACAGGATGACGCGAGGTGAGCGAGGAAGGTGTCGTCTAGGGTTTCCACGCTGTCGTCGCTCAGATGGAGATGGGTGAGGTTCGGGAAGCATGCGACGGCATGCGAGAGTTCTTGGAGGGAAATGGCATGTTTTCGTTTGACGAGCAGGGTGGAGACGTCACGGTGAGCTACATCGCGCCAACGACGGCACACTGACGACACGATCTTGACAGCGGTTGGAATAGCGGAGGGGGGCGATATTGGATACGACTCTTCCTCGGGACTAGGATCATCTTCGTCTTCTAAAACGATCGAGCGAAGGTACAGTGGCTTCGGCGACAATGAATGTTGAGACCATAACGCGTCACTGTCCGGTTTCCAAGGTGTAGTAGACTCCGCACAACGCCATAATATCCTAGCGAGGACGTCGTCGGGAAGGTCGTTAATATGTGTCGCTGCCTCCATCATTTCCCTAGCAGACAAGGTTACTAAGGATCTATAGAAGGACGGTATGCAGCGAACTTGAAGCCCAGACTGAGTTTATACAAGGCCTGAAAAATGAGTGACGAGGTGATTCATTCGTGCCGTGATGGTCATTTGTGTTGCCTTCCCTTGTACGCAACGCATGGCTCGTGTAAGGGTGGATACTCCGTCAGTTGTAGAAAGGGTTACCCGGGTACCAATTCAAATTGGTTTTGCTGCGCTGAAGCGCTTCTTCAATTTCGCTGCCAGTATTTCGCTGCATTGGTTTCGCTCCGATTGTTTGTGGTTCGAAACCTTGCGTGGGTCCAACAAAAAGTTAGCGAGCTCAGCGAAATTCTGGAAAATCTGAGACGTGACACGGTTTCGTTCAGCCACGAACCAAGCACAATTGGTCTGGGAACATTGTGTTCGAAGGTTCGTTCCAGCGCTCTCGTGCGACGGTCCGTTCATCTGCCTGGTCCGAAATTTTGGTCAGGCGGGCCCCTTCGCGGACCAGTCGCGGACAAGACACGGACTGGTCCGAAATTCTGGTATACAAAAATACTGTATGCCGCGACTCTGTCGTTGAGGTTCGCGGCTCTCGTTTTGGAGGGAAACCTGTGATCCAGCAAAATCTCTCGGCTCGTGTTACCGTTTCGTCGGTTGAGTCGAATCTCGACGATGATGCCGAAAGCTCTGTAAGGAAACTACTTCGCCCAAGCCCTTTCTTGTACGAGCCGAACGAGTATCGGTAACACAATCGTAGGAACCAATTCTTCGCCAAGTTTCCATTCATTTCTGGTACCATCTCTTCGCTAAAGTCTTCATTTGGCTCCCTCACATGGCTGACGCTGGAGACCCAGATATCACCTCAGCATTTGCTTCTCTTGAACAGAATGTGGTACTTTTCCGCTCCCAGTACCCTGACTGCGACTTTCTAAGCTCACATTCCGAGAAGCTCGTGGCTCCAGACGCGCCAGCTCCGATCGACGTTATCATAACGCGTCTCAAATCAAGTGTCGTGAATCGTGATCACCCACGGTTATGGTTACCACCAATCAAGCCCTGCAGGCCATTTCCGCGCGTCATAGGGAGGTATTGAAGCACGGACTTGTTCGTGCACCATAACGGTGAACTCTCTAAATCAGCTCAAAGCACCGTGATGAAACAGCCGATCCACCATTCGCTGCGCGACTCACCTTCTGAGCCCGCGAATCTCTTCCGCTTCCCTTTTGGCGCCACGTTTGCGACCTCGGAACAGTCTGTGGTCACAGCGAGTCTTCCGTCTGTCCCTTTCCTTCCACTAGGCTTTTTCCCAACGCCTCAACGTCAGAGTTCGAGTTCCGAGTTAGCTATCGGCAATCGTGTTTCTCACAGACTTGACGCGCCTCGTCCCCCGCTGGTCGCGTGTCTTCGCGCCTTCCTCTCATATCGCTTTTGAAGCGCCTTCGCATATCGCTTCATGTGTTTGGCATCGTTACACTCGCCCCTCCCTTTCCCTCCTTTCCCATCCGCCATCCAGACGACGCTTTCCCCTCCCCCTCCGTCCCCTCCTTCCCCCCCCCCGCATCCGCCATCGCCACGTCGTTCAGCCACTATGTGACGTGTGAAGCTGCCACACGCAACGCTCGACGCCTGGTGGGTTCATCGTCTCACTTCTATAAGAATCCTTCTTTCCCTGGCCTTTTACATTCTGGTGTGTGTTCGTGCAACCTCTCGATTTTCCAGGAAATTTCTCACTTTTTCTTGCTCTCATCCTACCCACACCTTCATTCATTCCCTGCATCTCTTCACATCATTGTCCCCCCCTGTTCCCCCTCTTTCCGCCCCCTAATTCCGCCTCCCATCCCCCACCCTCCTCTTCCATGTACCCTCCTTCTCATCGCGTAGCTCCCTCCCCTCCTTCCCCCTTCCCCCTTCCCGCTTCTCCATCCCTCCCTTTCCCTCTCTCCTCCAGTGCATAGCAGCAGGACGCCCAGACACGTCTGTTGTTCAGGGCGCCACGCCACAGCACCGCTTTCAACCGCACCATCCTCTGCAGGGGATCTCCCCAACCTGTCGAAT